AGCAGAAACACGAGCCGGCGCCGGCGCACGAGCCGCAGGTGGCGCAGTCCAGCACGATGTTGCACAGCGTTAGGAATTCACAAAAGAGGCAGGCCAGGATGCAGTGAACGCAGCAGTCTGGAGACAAACAAAGTTCACTCGAACTTCGTGCAAAATACGAATTTTGTGCATCCGTCAAGACACGAATTGACGACAGTATTTTCCTCTATATCGCAATTCATCATTCACGACGCCGCGCTATGTCGCTGACTTATGAGCGGTTAATTTGATGTATAGTCCTGCGAGTCCGAATTCAGTTACAATGCCTTCGGTGTCGTAGTATGTTTTGCCACAGCCTGTGGCGCAACACTGAGGTCTGTTGCAAGAGATGGAGCGTAATTAAGAACAAAAAGAAGAGGCAGAGCAGGAGCCCAAATGAGAATATATGAGTGGAAGGATTGTTTGCTCCATTTGTATGTGTTTCTGCTCCAAGTGTGTTGCAGTCGTCCTTGTTAGAAGGTTTCAAATTACCGTAACATTCTGCTAATTTCGGTTAGGTTGCATGATAGGTTTTATGACGCTATATTAGCATTAAGCTAACGGATTTTCGTAAGATAAAATGACATGGGCTCTATTTTTGTGATGGGCGTAAATCCGGCACGCTGGGCATTTGGTCATTTCTCGAGCAAACGTGAGCCGGCGTATTTAAAAGAGGGAGGTCTGCACCTCTGTGAGCGTGGACACGGTTGATTTCAAATCAAGCTGCTCCTCTCCGTTCGCTTAAAATATGGCACAATGCCAGTCTGGCATGGACACATCTTTGTGTGCAATATGACGATGCAAAATCACAGCAATCCGTGCATTGTCGCTGCTCTTGGCCAGTAAGGCAACAGACAATGTAAGCATGCATGCCCCTTTTTTTAAAAACAGAACGAGCCTGTTACAAATGCTATGGTGACTTAAATGTGACCGCGCTATGTCGCTGACTTTTGAGCGGTAAATTTGATGTATATTGTAGTCCTGCGAGTCCGAATTCAGTTACAATGCCTTCGGTGTCGTAGCATGTTTTGCCACAGCCTGTGGCGCAGCACTGTGGTCTGTTGGAAGAGATGGAGCGTAATTAAGAACAAAAAGAAGAGGCAGAGCAGGAGCCCAAATGAGAATATATGAGTGGAAGTGTTGTTTGCTCCATTTGTATGTGTTTCTGCTCCAAGTGTGTTGCAGTCGTCCTTGTTAGAAGGTTTCAAATTACCGTAACATTCTGCTAATTTCGGTTAGGTTGCATGATAGGTTTTATTACGCTATATTAGCATTAAGCTAACGGATTTTCGTCAGGTAAAATGACACGGTTTGGTTGAACATTTAGGTGCTTAAACATACGGGGCTCTATTTTTGTGACGGGTGTAAATCCGGCACGCTGGGCATTTGGTCATTTTTCGAGCAAACGTGAGCCGGCGTATTTAAAAGAGGGAGGTCTGCACCTCTGTGAGCGTGGACGCGGTTGATTTCAAATCAAGCTGCTCCTCTCCGTTCGCTTAAAATATTGCACAATGCCAGCCTGGCATGGACACATCTTTGTGTGCAATATGACGATGCAAAATCACAGCAATCCGTGCATTGTCGCTGCTCTTGGCCAGTAAGGCAACAGACAATGTAAGCATGCATGCCCCTTTTTTTAAAAACAGAACGAGCCTGTTACAAATGCTATGGTGACTTAAATGTGTCCATGGACCTCAAATTCTACAAACTGTTAGACCTGGAATCTTTCAACTGCACCAGACCTAAAAGGTGGTCTCAGCGGGTGCCCAATTTTCTAAAATTGTTGATTGCAACACCGAGAGCATGTTTTGCCACAGCCTGTGGCGCAGCACTGTGGTCTGTTGGAAGAGATGGAGCGTAATTAAGAACAAAAAGAAGAGGCAGAGCAGGAGCCCAAATGAGAATATATGAGTGGAAGGATTGTTTGCTCCATTTGTATGTGTTTCTGCTCCAAGTGTGTTGCAGTCGTCCTTGTTAGAAGGTTTCAAATTACCGTAACATTCTGCTAATTTCGGTTAGGTTGCATGATAGGTTTTATTACGCTATATTAGCATTAAGCTAACGGATTTTCGTCAGGTAAAATGACACGGTTTGGTTGAACATTTAGGTGCTTAAACATACGGGGCTCTATTTTTGTGACGGGTGTAAATCCGGCACGCTGGGCATTTGGTCATTTTTCGAGCAAACGTGAGCCGGCGTATTTAAAAGAGGGAGGTCTGCACCTCTGTGAGCGTGGACGCGGTTGATTTCAAATCAAGCTGCTCCTCTCCGTTCGCTTAAAATATTGCACAATGCCAGCCTGGCATGGACACATCTTTGTGTGCAATATGACGATGCAAAATCACAGCAATCCGTGCATTGTCGCTGCTCTTGGCCAGTAAGGCAACAGACAATGTAAGCATGCATGCCCCTTTTTTTAAAAACAGAACGAGCCTGTTACAAATGCTATGGTGACTTAAATGTGTCCATGGACCTCAAATTCTACAAACTGTTAGACCTGGAATCTTTCAACTGCACCAGACCTAAAAGGTGGTCTCAGCGGGTGCCCAATTTTCTAAAATTGTTGATTGCAACACCGAGAGGTGTCTGCTTGTTTATGGATAATGTCACTAAGCAGCAGTGTGCTGTGCTGTGTTTATATTCCTTGTTGAGTCAATTGGCGAATGACATACTGGATGCATTACGCCTCACTGCTATGATGTCATACTATTTATGTAGCTGATGCTGCTATCTCTCTTTCCCCACCTTCACTCCCTTCAATAAAAGGCAAACCAGATCCGGTTTTACCTCTAGCCTCTGTACCATGGCAAACAATAACATTGGGATTTTTCCATTTGACCTATATAATGTCAAACACCTCCCAAAGGTGGGTTAAAAAAATCTTACTGGTGTCAAATTGCTAGCCTGGCGAAGAGCTGGACAGTGTAAAAAGCTCAGAACAATTTATTCACAGTTGCATTGAACCAAGGCAGACGTCATCGCCGTGCACTGAAATTCTTGTAGTCCACATCCAAGTCAAGGTTCTCTTTCAGTCTGTTCTTGGGCCACTGTGCTGCAAATCAATGTATTTCTGACCACATTTTCGACGTTGGTTAAGTCAAATATGACAAATTTGTGGTGCTAAGCTGGACGAGCCAAAATAATTTGTTCTTTATCATTCACAACTGTTGTCAACGTACCCAACATCCCTCTTTGACTGTGGTATTGAGTCATATAGAACTTATACAAGCACAGGGAGAGCTCGCATAGTCTTAAAGCCACAGTGCTAACCACTACCCCCACTGCGCTGCCAAGAAAATGTAAAGTTAGTCCTCTTTACGATCATAATAAATGCCATAGTCCTGCGGTTTATCATTACGTAAATGTTGAATATGCACCGCGTCGGGTCTTAACTATTAAAAGTTGTTATAGCCAAAGGGTGGCGTAACTCGTGTTGCTGTAATATTATTAAGATTATTAACGCTGTGTGCATCTTACCATCCTGTGCCTCCGTGGGAATCTGAGAGCTGTTGCTCTTGGAGCTACTTTTGGAGCTTCCTTTGCTCCTCTTGCTGCTCTGGGAGGTGATCGAGGGGTTAGACTGCAACTTCTTGCTGTTCCTGGGCCCTGCCGAGGAGGAGGAGGAGGTGGATGAGCCTCCTCTTGGGAGGGAGCCCAGTTTTGGATGAGGGCCCCCATTCCTGTCGCCGCCAGACTGGAGCGAGTGTGTGTGAGGCGTGGGATGTGGACAGTGAGGGGAGTGTGTGTGTGCATGATGTTTGGTTCCGTTGCGTAGTTGGCTGCTGGGTTGCGTCCGACAAGGCTGGGTGGGGTGGATGGGTGCGGATCTGGCTGCCGGTTGACCTGTGAAAAGACAAAGGAGTTACTGTTAGGTGATACTGACTTCATATCATAGAAATACAAGATAACAACTTCTTCACTATTATTACAGAGGTGATTTCAATGTTTTGTCCAGCCTGAGGCTTATCTGCGCAAATGCACAGGGAGCCTCTCTTCAAGATGAGTTCATATTAAAAGCAAGCACAAAGGCAGTGAAGAGCTTCACTGACGCCTCATCTGACTTGTCTGCACTCTTCGTCTTCAGCAGAAGACAAACCCCGACTCACCGGTTGAAAAACTGTCCTCGTGTTCATGATTTCATTTGAAAACAGGTGTTAGGCATCCCGGAAATATCTTGTCCTTTCGCGGCACAGACGGGAAGAGGATGAGGATCAGCAGTTTTCTGGGAAACGCTTTCAATTAAATGAGAATGATTCCAATGTTCATCCGAAGAAATGTAAGATGGGCTTTGAATATGCCTCGCTCTATGGTGCATAATTTCATTAAACGATTCATTGAACGTGGATAATTCCGGCGCATGAAGACAAAAGGAGTCAAGCTTAAGCAGAACACCCATGATGTACTATCCTTAAGACACCACTTCACTTCATCAAGAAGAGTTATTCATCAATCGCTGATAGAACCGCATGGACCCGAGATTACTTTGGCAACACTTTGTCAAGCAAGAACAATACATAGCTACCTTCGCCAGTGCCAAATTAAACTCCTCCGCTCCAAAAGGAAGTCCAATTTGAACTGTGTCGAGAAGCAACGTCAACTCCTCTGCGCTCAGGGCAACTGGGCTGGACCATCGCGCGGTACAAATGTGTGTTGTGGTCAGCTGAATTTGGTGTGGACGCTGTGGGTTCCGCGGAACCATCGAGTCAGCGACAGACTCAAAAGCCAAGCCCCTGTTATGTTGTAAGACGGTGTCAGTAACTTGGATCGACGATGATGGCGCCATTAATGCCAAAAAGTACAAGTACAAGTGGCCATGAACATTTCAACAATACAAAACCACAATGTGTGCGTTGGTCAAATGTGTGGTTGCAGAAAGAGAGTTTGCTGGACTGGTCTGCCCGCAGTCCCGACCTCTCCCCCAGTCAAGATTTTGTCTCAGGAAGAACAATCCACAAGCAATCCACCAGCATCTTTCTTCACTTCCGTCCTTAAAGTTAAAAATAAATAAATAAATAAAATCTTAAAAAGTGTCGTTCACAAGCCTGCCAAATTTGAATGATTCAAAAAAAAGTACGCATTTTCGGCTTCAAAATCATGAACAATTAAGCCACTGTCCCCGCTCTCAAAAGATGCGGGTGTGTCTACTGAACCACACCCAAAAATGTATGCTACTCCAAGCCACAACTGTCATACGCCTCCTCATCCATCCCAACATGTTTGAGCCGCTTAAAGCCTCCATGTCTCAAATAAGTCCCGCCCACTTGTCAGAGGGGCACTCGTCACCCGCTAGCTGGCAAGCTAACAGGCGTCCGGGTCTCTTCTTGTTCGCTGGATTGCGGCGGCCTCGTCCGTGGGATCACTGGCTC